ACGAAAAGAAAGCTTTTGAATATTATGAAAAATCTGCTAATATTGGTTATGAAGAGGGAATGAAGAAAAATCTGCTAATGTTGGTTATGAAGAGGGAATGAATAACCTTGGTCGCTGTTACGAATATGGAATAGGAATCGAGAAAAATGAACAGAGAGCCTTTAATTGTTATCAAAAATCTGCAAATATTGGAATGATTAATCTTGGTCGTTGTTATGAAAAAGGAATTGGAGTCACAAAGAGTGAACGTAGCGCATTCAATTATTACCAAAAATCTGCTGATATGAATAATTCTAATGGGATGAATAATGTCGGTCGTTGCTATGAAAATGGAATTGGAACTAAAATTAATAAAAAGGAAGCCTTTGAATGGTATCAAAAATCTGCTGTTATGGGAAACTCTGATGGAATGAATAATGTTGGTCGTTTTTATGAAAAAGGAATCGAAGTGCGAAATAATTTAGAATTTATAACGACAACATTAATGTTAATTCTAATTCTTGGATTGTGCTTTGGGATGGGATTAGGATTAGGATCGTTATTAAGATCATGGTTAAGGTTATGGTTAGGATTAATTTTAGGGTTTGTGTTTGGGTTAATGCTATCGTTTTTGATTTTGAATATATTAGAGTTAGGAAGGTGGACATATTCAAAATTAGAATTAATAGTAGCTTTATTTTTAAAAAAATTTTATGAAAAAAAAACATTTAAATATTATCACAAATCTGCCAATATGGGTAATACCAAAAGTATGGCTAATGTTGGTCGTTGTTATGAAAAAGGAATTGGAATTACGAAAGATGAAAAGAGGGCATTTGAATATTATATGAAATCAGCAAACATGGTTGAAAATGTAATCATTGAAAATTGTAAGTAAAAATAATGTAGCTATAGCAAATAAATTTTGCCTACGATCACTCAAAAGCATATTAATAAAATTATTCTTGTTCACATCTTTTAATACTAGTCTAATTAGCTATGGATTCCGGTTCAAATTTTTTATAATCATAATCTAAAAAATAAACTCTACCTTTGATATTAGATTAAATCACAGCTTAACTATTAGTTATTGAAATTTGAAAGGGAACTCTGTTTTTTTCTATAAAGTAATTTACCGATAATTTAGAAATAATTGCGGTTTTTTGTGTTTTTTTTTTCGCGTTGCACCCGATTCTGTAATATAATTGATCAGAGAAATTTTCGCTAGAGCGGTCATAATTCTGATTTTGTTGTAAAAAAATATTATGGTTAATTGTCATAGGTCTTATCTTATATTCGCATCATGCAAACGAAACAGGGAATCAATTTAACTAGGCACTGAATAGATATGCAAATCTATAAGACTGAATTCATCATGAATCTCCTTTATTAAATTGTATATTTTAGTAAACACTTTTTCACTTATTTTCTACTTTAGTGGTAATTTATAATATCAATTGTGTCCTTCATTTCTTTTCGTAATTCAACCCAATTATCAGCGACTAATTCTTTAATTGATAATTTTCCATCAATCGTATAAATTATTTTATCTTATCGAATTAAATATGGTTCCTGAATTTTCATCTCTTCAATCTTTTCAAAAAGTTTATACGCATTTATTGCATTTTTGAGGTAATAAGAGTCCATTAAATAATATAGATTACCTGAAATATATAATAACCTTTCTTCTTTTCTAGAAGCGATCAAGTAAAACTATCTATTACCAAATTTGTAGTAACTAAAAAAAATATAAAAATATAAAAATAATTTATATGGTCAGTTATTCATATCAATATGAAACTTACAGAATGACATATTCATCCCAGTTTCGGTGGAAAAAGTATAACCGTGTTTCTCTAATTTACTCATTTTTTGCACATACTAATAATAATTCTTCATCACTGCTAACTTTAATAGATTCAGGTATATCTATTAAAATGAGTTTTAATCGATAACTCTTCAATATCCCAAATCGTGATCTCATGAATTGTATCATTAAATATGATCAATTTGCCTTTAGGAGTAATATATATTTAAAATATTTCAACTCAATCATTGATTTCATTTGTAAAAACATATGCTCTGTAATACCTTGTATTGACCATTATGATATCTCCATTATCAATAAAGGATATGTAATCAATTTCCTTCTACCGATATGTTCATTTTCAAAATCGAAAATTTCCTGAAAATATGCATAATATTGTAAGTGAATTAAATTATTAAAATAGCAATAATACTAAATTTATGTATAACCAAAGACTAATATCATCATCTTCATATAATGTAGCAGCATGTTTCAAGTTGGACGAGCAGACAATTTCCAAAATTTTCTTCTTTTTATTTTTATCTGGAGCCTCTTCCACTGAAATTTCCACATGTGAATTATCTGAATTAGATGTTATTTCTAATTATCTTTGATAAATTTTTAATATAATAACAAAATATTGAATTTTAAATAATATTTATTATCAGAAGGATAAATTTCAATAAAAAATTTGATAAAATGTTTAATCGCATTGGAAATTTTTAAAAATTCGAACTAAGTTGCAGTTTGTTAGTAAATATTTATTTGAAAATGTTTGTGGCCACGTTGTTCTATGCTTTGTATTTAATAATACTTAACATCTGATGCTTGACAGTTCTGCCACAAGAGATATTTACTATTTAAAACATTTCAAATAATAAATGATTGTTATACATTCTCAATCTGTGGACTGATTATAGAAGCAAAAATCTCGCACTAATTGAAATACAAATTATGCACTTTCAGAAATAATATCTCATTATACTCATTATGCTCAAGACATGAGAATATATTTCGGATAGTCAATGTAAAAATTTATATTTGATTACATACTAGAAAAGCGGCAACATTTTGTGGGCTGGAGCCTTAATTCTTAGGTCTTACATCTTATAATTAAATCTTAAATTGTATTTAAATTTTATGAATTGCTATAAGTTAATTATAATAAATTTATAATAAAGTAATCCTTAATCTTTGTTGTAAACGTCATTTTGCCTTAATTTCTGTAATCTGTCAAAGTCAGCAAGAGTACAAACTCTTGATACATCTACAAATGCTACAAATGTAAGACCATTTGCAAATTACTTATTTCTAAGATTTACTATGGCTATGATAATGATAAGTTTTGTGACTTATGAGTTTTAATTGCCCAAGCAAGGCGCAAAGGAAATTGCATACAAGAGCAAGTTCCTGATTTTCCTTCCCAAGTATATTTAATGAGTCAAATTGGTACTACTTGATGATAGTTCGATATAGATAAAGTTGTACCCGTATAATTGTCCATTTAATCAGTTATGATTAGTGATGCGACTATAGTTGCCGTCCAAACCTAACTAGTTTGGGGCTTTGGGACTTTCTAGGGCATTAACCACTATTTGGGACTAGTTAAAACCGTGGAACTTGACCCAAACTTACTGTATGAATTGGGATTTGGGACAAAATTTTAGATATATCCAATTTGGACGGCAACTATAGATGCGACCCAAACCTAGTGGTTTCGGCACTTGCCGTATCCCAAACTGGCAAAACTAGTTTGGGACTTATGTCATAATTATCCCAAACTAATATATATTGAGATTTCGGCATGAATCCCTAAATGCCGTAATGCCGTTATTTGCCGTAAATAGTTTGGATCGCATCACTAGTTATGATCTAATATAACTGAAGGAAAGGGTTCTTCTCGAGTAAGGCAATAATTATGCTACCTGGACAGCATCTTGAAACTTTTGACATGCGGGTGATCGTAGACTTAATTATTTCAATTAAAAATCGTACTAATTTAGTTACCTTCTTCATATGTTTGTTTGTCTTGATTTACCTTCTCTTTCGCTTTAATGTTAACTGATATTTGCGAAGATCCTGCCTCTTTTCTGATTCATTTTTTTTGATAGGCTAACTGCTGTTCTTCAGTTTCGAACTTTTCTGTTTCATTTTTTCGCTGATAAACTTAAGCATATTCTTACGATATATTTATATCATCGTATATTATAAATGATAAGCATTATTTTTATTTTTAAATATGTTTGTTTACAATATGATGCATATTATGATATTTGATATAGAGTAATTATTTTCTACCAATATTTTTTATTAAAAAGTCATTTAATATGTTTTTATTAAAAGTCAGCTAACATATTTTAAACCAAGATTTGGTATCCAAACGTTGAACCTAATTTAGGTTCAACTCTGATTATTTTGAGCCTAAAATTTGGGTCAAGTGAGGTGGGAGTCGGACATTCCTAAATTCAATAGAGTAAGGCTTGAAACGCTTTCCCTCATCAGTTAATTGATAATTGAAATAAATTGATAAATGGTATATAGCTTCACTTTAGTTCTGTCAATTATTAAATTATCAATTAATGCATGCCATTATAATTTCCACTGAAAAATAACTCAGGTCAATTTTTAAAGTTAAAGCAAATCATTAAGCAAAATTGCCAAATTCAAATACATAGTTACTTTACTGTTATATACCTTTTTCTGTAATAATTTCCTGACTTACTAAAAAATAAGGGGTAAAGTCATTATGAGTATCATATTAATTGATCTGGCTTTTAATGTAAATGTATTCTGAGTAAAATGCAAGATACTAAATTTAAACATTCAATAACATCTAGTCTATTATATTTAAAGAATGTCTTGTCCATAATATTTTAAGAACATTCAATCTATAACGTTTAAGAATGTCAATTCATAACGTATAAAAATTGCTAATTCATAATGCTCAATACCAATCAACTCATAAGCTTAAAAAATGCCCGTACAGTAAATTTATTACTCATATATAAAATTTATACTAATTGTAAACAGCTTATATCACTTCCTAATCTATGAATGCACATATTGATTAATAATTGACAAATGAAAAAATGGCGCATGACATCCAAACTTTAAAACAAAAATAACATTTTAAGTATTAAAAATATAAATTTTAAAATATTGAAATCGTTTTTCGCCAAACTATTACTATCTATTCTATTTCGATCAAAAATATTTATTTATTAGTTTTAAGTTCTTCAATTGATTCTTTTAAATCCTTAAGGTCGTTAAGAATGGTCAGATCTTTAAATTTCCTCTCAATTATCTTCTCAACCTGAGTGGGCAGATCTTCAATTATTCTCTCAACCTTTCCCTCAATTTGTCTAAGAGATGGCTGTTCTTCAGGGAGTCGAAGAACTTCACTAAGAGCCCCTGAAATATAAGGATTTCTATAACCTGACCAATTATTTAGGGTATCCATTATATATTCACGAAGTTTAATTGTGTGGCATTCATAAAAACTTTTAAATATAATATAAAAATATAAGTAATAGGGTAAAGATTTGTTTTTGCATGGAATTAAATAGCTTACATAATAAACGGAAACCATTTTTCCTTTCTTCGTTGATGAGGTAACATATATAATAACTCAATTTCTTCTAATATCTAATTAATTAATAAAATATTAAAAATGCATATATAATATGAATATAATATATAAAGTTAATACCTCCGCTTTTAGAATTAAATAAGACTCTTTTTTAGTTTCAATTATTCCATTAGTTAACAGTCCGATAAATAAATTCATTAAATAAATAGTTGCAACAAAAGAAAATATGAAAGTTAAAATTAGTAAAGTGGGGTTATCAGTTAAGTCCCAGTAAGAAATTGGTGTTGTGTCTCCTATTATATGCACAATTTTAGTAGTATTATTAATATATGTAAAGAAGCTTGATCGCCACTAACAAATTTTTTTAAAAAAGGAACAATTTAAATTTTACCTGTAAGCATGAGATAAACAGCCGAAATTGCAGAGTCCATCATCATAAACATATTTGTAGTCGTGGTATGTGATTCAGTAAGTGAAGAGTCTTCTTCAATTGTCCCATTAGGTGTGGAATAGCGCAATAAAAGATGTAATGAATGTGCAAAGGCAAATATAATAAAACCTAATATAATCAAAAACGAAAATCCCCTTTGTGCAACTCCAATTATCATAGAAAAGTGAACACCAGAAAATTCAATCGCGCGAAAAAATAAAAGGAATTTGATTTCTAATAATAAAGTAGAAAAGGTAGCCATTTCTGTTGGTATGTCATTACTTTGAAGCCATTTAATTGATGTCGTTGGCAGTAAAAATGCAGCTAAATCTATGTTTAAAAGCAAAAAAAAAAAAGTAACATTATATTAGTTATAATATTATAAAAGATTATTATATATTAATACTCATCTTACCAAAAAAATTCCATATACTAGATATATAAATTAGTGGTGATAAAATAAATTGGCGTAATTCAAAAAATAAATGCAATATACCAAGAAAAATAGTTATATTTAAAAGAATAATCATAGTAGTCTGAGAGATAGTTTTGTAATATGTTGCAGCAATTACGAAACTAAAAAGAAAAATTGTATAAATTGTCCAAGTTGCTAAGTAATATTTTCTTCCATAAGCATTCCATTTAAATTTAAGTAGTGCTTCTCCATTTAAATGTTTATAAAACTCTTCATTTATCATTTCAAGTTTATTCGAATAAGTGAAAGAACTGGAACTAGGTAAAAATAATTCTCTCCAAAAGTTATATTTTTTTGGATAAGAAACAAAGTTTGGTAGAGGAATCTCAAGTATGGTTGAACCATGGCCCGGTTTTACAATTAAAGCTTGAAAAGGGTATAAAATTAAATTTTGAAAAAGAGTATATATTTCTTGAAAATATTGTAATCTATATTGAAAACTGATCTGAAAACTAATCCAACGAACCCAAAGATTAGAAACTAATATATTAAGAGACGATGTTTTAGATAAATCATAGTGTTTTCCATAACTGGAAAGGTGTAGAGAAGTAGAGCTCGGATTTATGATAGTACTAGCAGCTACAAATCCTATAGAAGATAAAGCACTTGCTATAAATGCAGGATGATTTTCTGATAATTCTTTAAATTTTTCAAAAATAATACTCAACAGAGAAATTTTAGAAATCAGATGATTATTTCCTTGCTACCTAAACGTGTAATCCATTTATCATCCTTTAATTTAATAAACATATCCATAAGATATTTTCCGTAGCAAGTTAAATAAAACTCTTCAGTAATATTGGCTTTCAAAAACTCTTCGAAAAGCCCTTTTTTATTCTTTTTTTATTCTCTTTTTTTTTACCAAATTTAATATCTAACTTATTATATACTGATTCATAACTTGAAGCAGGAAGAAATCGTTTTGAAGTCCAGTTTTCAAAGAGATTTTTAAACATTGTTTTTTCAAACTCAAAATACTTTAAACGGTCATTCCAATAGTTCCAATAATAATGCATCATAATTTCCGAAGATTTATTAATTTCAGAATATTTAAAAGTCCAGATAATTACACCAATACGCGTAATCGTAACGAAATCATCATTTTCAAGAATTCCACAATTTAATATAAAATTTTTTCCATCATTATAAATTGTTGGAAGTATGTCCAAATATATTTTTTTATTATCTGGATTCCATTCCTTCCTACGAAAATCAAAATCAATTACTGAAAGTCTCACTGATTTTTCTTTTAATTCAATTCCCCATCTTAAAAATCTCCCTTCAATTACTTTTCCGACATCATTATAATCATTAGTTAGAATTTCATTAATAGTATCAATTGTCTTTGTAGCTAAAATTGTAATATTTTTTGTGTCTTTCAGATTTAATCGTAAGTATTTGATCCAATCATCAGGCAACAATTCTTCAATTATCACTTTTCCGTCAACCGTATAAATTATTTTATCTGATTTAATTATATATGGTTTTTGAGTTGGTATTATATCTGATGTTTGAATTGGTTTATTTTCAAAGGGATCATATGCATCTGTCATAAAATTATCCCCGAGGTTATAAGGATCCTTTAAATAATATTGCCGGCTTGAAAAATTAATAAATAATAATCTTTCTCCTTTACTAGAAGCGATTAAGTGAAATTTATCTATTACCCATTTGGTATTAGCTAATAAAAAAATAAATTAATATAAAAATAAAAATAAAAATCTATATGATCATTATTTAATTTGAAGCTTACTGAATGCCAGGTTAATCCCAGTTTCGGTGAAAAAAGTGTATAAACGTGATTCATTAGCTTCCTCATTTCTTGCACTTACTAATAATAATTCTTCATCATCACTTATTTCAATATGCTTAGGCGTATAATTCCAATCTAGTAAAATATGAGTTTTAATCAATAATTTTTCAATGTCGCACATCATGATCTCATAAATCGTGTCATTAAATAAGTTCAATTTGCCTTTAGGAGTAATATATATTTTTTTAAAATATTTCAACTCAATCATTGATTTACAAACCCAACTAACTTTATCTTTTTTTCCTTTACATGTAAAAACATATGCTCTATAATACATAGTATTGACCATTATAAGATTTCCATTATTGATAAAGGATAAGTAGTTAATTTCCTTTTGCCAATCTGGAAAGGTTAATAAAACCTCCTTTCCGGTTTCAAGATCGAAAATTTCTTGAAAAAATACATAATACTATAAGTAATTGAATTATTGGAATAGCAATAATATTAAGTTTATGCATAACTTACCGAAATTATAAGGATCCTCTCTGTAAAGACAAATTGAAGCATATTTATTATCTGAAACAGCCAGCATTCTTCCACCTCCTTCATTATAAGAATAAAATTTGTCAATATGAATCGTATTTATTTTTGTCAAGTTTTTACTAATGATAGACCAAAGACTAATATTCCTATTTTCGTCCAATGCAACGACATGTTCCAAATTAGGTGAGCAGGCAATTTCCAAAATTTCAGTTTTATCCTCGATTGGAATTTCCACATGAATACTAGATGACATTTCTAACTAATTTTTATAGGAAAAATGAAGTTTTTCAAATATTATTTATAATGATTAGCAGGATTAATTTCAATAAAAAAAGAATTAGGCAATCGTATTGGGAGTTTTTAAAAATTCAAAATAAACCGCAGTTTGTTAGTAAATATTTGAAAATGTTTGTGGCGTCATGTTGTTCTATGCTTTGTGTTTAATAATTCCTAGCATCTAGTGCGTAAAACTTCATAAAGATTAAATTCAAATTATATCAAACTATCTTTTATATTTGTCGAAATGCAATAATTATAAAATATTTAATTTATTTATTTAATTTATTTAAGTTTAATTCTATTAAATATTCGTTATAATTTAATTTACAAAATATATAAATATTTATAATTTCAACATAAGGTGATTTAATAAAATAATTTTACTATATATTTAAATAAAATAATTTTACTGTATACTTTAATAAAAAGAATTAACATAAAAATTTATAAACTAGTTTAAAATAATTTTTTTTAATTTGAACATATGATTTTAAACTAGTTGGTTTATTACAATTTAGTAGATTTTTTTATGATAAATATAAGCCTTATATTCATCTATTTCGACACCAATTCCATAGAGATAACTATATCCAACACGTTCTATTGCATCAGCACAACCCATATCAGCAGATTTTTGATAATAGACGAATGCCTTATATTCATCTCTTTTAACACCAATTCCAAATTGATAACAACAACCAACTCGATTTATTCCGTCAATATCTCCCATATCTGCTGATTTTTGATAATAAAAAAATGCTTTATGATTATTCTTTTTAACACCAATTCCCTTCTCATAACAGCATCCAACATTATATGTTCCAAAAACATCTCCCATATCTGCTGATTTTTGATAATACGTGAATGCCTTGTATTCATCCTTTTCAACTCCAATTCCTTCATCATAACAACATCCAACATTATACATTCCTATAGCATTACCCATATCTGCTGATTTGTTGTAATAAATAAATGCCTTATGTTTATCTTTTTTAACACCAATTCCTTCATCATAACAAACACCAACATAAAATATTCCTTCAACAAGCCCCATATCAACAGATTTTTGATAATAAACGAACGCTTTATATTCATCTTTTTTAACCCATTTACCAAACCGATAACAACATGCAAGAATAACTTTAGCCGTAGGATTTACTTGTTCATCTAAACACCATTTGATAATATCATTAGGATTTTGATTCTTTTTGATTAGAAATTGATCCAATTTTTTAATGACCGATTCTGTATCAGAACAATTTAATCTTAATTCATTGTAAAGATTTAAAAATTCTTTAATAATTTCACTAAAACAATCTGGTGATTTCTTCTCTTTTAAATATAATTTATTAATATTGTCAGTTATTTGAGTAATATCATTTGATGAATTAACGATTTTTTCAGAAGGTTCTACAATTTGATTATTTGACATTTTAAAAAAAAAATCGAGAAAAAATCTGTGTTCAAAACGTTAAATAAAATTATACGTATTACTGTACCACCAGTATTTCTATATTTAGACACAACTGTAACATTGAGGGTTAGCCATTACAAATCATGCGATGATCAATAATGACAAAATACGTAGTAGTAAAGGAAACAAATTTTTTTTTTAATGAACATTCGTTTTTGATATCTGTTATGTTACACTAAATCGTGATTTACTGTTAGCTTAATTTATTTATTACATATCAATAATCACTTGACCCAAATATTTTTCTTAACGTTAGAGACTAAGCTAATTGATCCGTTTAATTATTTAATAAATATTTTTATTTAAATGATTGGTCAAATAATATTTAACAACTACTAAACTAAAATTAATGAAGTTTTTATTCGATTTTACCAAGATTATAAAAGAGAAAAAAAATTCTTAATTTAATCAATATTTATTAAAAAACTATTAATCGAAGTTTTTTTTTTAAAAAAAGTCGCGAAATAGTATGCGATTAGGAATTTTGTTACGAGAAATTTCAGAATTTCAGTTCTAGATTTTGATACATTTGGATATTTTTTATACAGACCTATCATGATAGAACGTTATATTCTCGAAAATTTATTATTTTCAATCTAAATATCTCAATATTTTATTAGGCTAACTAATGTATAATAAAAATTGTACGTACGTACGGCATATAAATAAAAATCTTAAAATTGTCTCATTTGTGCTGCGTAACAAACCCACATACATCCGGGCCCACAACGCAATAGTGCCATAAATTTTAAAGACACTATACGATCGATCTAAATTAAAATGCGCACTTTTTTTTATTTGTTTAAATCATTATACACTTGGTTTATACTACAACCTGTACCACGTGAAACTGGTTATCAGTTAACCCGTTAGTATTAGCGGGGTGAAATTAACAATGATAAGAGTTACGCATTTACGCTGCATTATGACGTAAATTTATTAAATTAGTAAAGGAGATCAGTAAAATTAATCACTTCTTCGTTGTCAGTTCACTAATAACAAAAAAAAAAACAAAAAAAAAACGGTATACATACGTAGTAGTATAAAATAATTGAAATATCAAAGCAATTGCGATTTGGATGAGAAAGGAATAAATAATTTTGGTCGATGTTATGAAAAAGGAATTGGAGTTGAGAAAGATAAACGTAAAGCATTTGAAATTTATAAACAATCAGCCAATTTTGGTCACGCCGAAGGAATGAATAACCTTGGTCGTTGTTACTATTATGGAATCGGAGTCGAGAAAGACGAAAAGAAAGCTTTTGAATATTATGAAAAATCTGCTAATATTGGTTATGAA